TCCCGATGCGGCCCTCGGCGGGGCAGGTGAGTAAAATCCTGGGGTGGGGGCCGAGGCGCGGGAGGATGAGGTCTTGCTGGGCACTGGCGGAAGAGAGCGCTGCCCTGAGCCCGGACGGCGCCGCCCTCGGACTGGGAGATGGGGGGAGGGGGAGGTCGGATTCCCGCCTGGGCCTTGGGACACGTGGGCATCGGAACCGCCCCGCCTAGGGATTCGGGGTGCCTGGGCCCAGCGGGGTGTGTCGGGGGGTCGCCCCCGGCTCCAGTCCGAACTACTGTGTGACCTTGGGCTGGTCCCCCGCCCTCTCTGGGCCTGTTTCCCCGGGAAGGAGGGAGGCATAAGCTCAGAGGAGATTGGAATAGACACCCCTCCTCCCCAGAAGGAGGAGCCTGGAAGTCGTGAGCCTGTGCCCCTTGCTCATCTGGGCCCACCCACTGCTGCCTGCCCTGGAAGGATTGTCCTGGGGGTGGGGGTGGGGGTGGGGGTGTAGGTGGAGCCCAGGTTTCATCCTGGGAGGTGCTGGGGCAGGTGAGGGAGCCAGTGGCTTCCTGGCCATGAGGCAGGGTATCCTTCAGGCGCAGAAGCTCCGACCTGGGTGAGCACCTGGGCAGGTATCCCTGGCACCTGGTTGCCCCCAGCCTGACTTGGGGGCGGGAGTTGGAGGGCATGAAACCCTTGGCACCAGGAATACCTGACCACCCCCCTCCTCCTGCATCTCCGCCTGGCTGGCCTGGGCTTGGGGTGGGGTGTGTGGCTGCAGCTGGCACAGCCAGATGGGGAGGGGCATCTGCAGCTTCAGGGAACGGGCACATCTGGCTGGGGAGGTGGGCACAGCTGGCGGGCCCGGGTGGAAGGAGCCAGGCTAGGGGGCAGCTGTGCCTGTTGAAGGGCTGCCAGTGATGGACTCAGGCAGCGTCTGTGTGCCTTCTCAAAGAAGTCCAGTCACAGTGCTCGGTCCTGAGAGACCAGGAGGTGCTGGCTGAGCTGGGGTACTGCCTTGTGAATGGAGTCTTTGGGGCAGCACTACCCTCCAGGCTAACCCCTCCTCCTCCCCTGAAGCCACGGGGCCCTGGCCAGGCCTTGCCTGGGACCTGGGTCCGGACCTGCACACAGGAAGGTTGGGCACTGCCCTTTCCCCATGGAAAGCAGGCACTGGAGGGCATTCTGTGAAGGGGGAGTGGGTGGATGGGGGCCCAGTGGCCTTGGGTGGGCTCCCCCCAACAGGCCAGGCTTTGGCCAGCCCTTTTCCAAACCACTTTCTCTGCCACTGTCTGGCTACCGGAGTCCCTAAGGAGCCCCTAAGTTGCACCCTGACCCCTCACCTACAGGTAGCAGCAGCTCGAGGGAGGAGGTGGGTGCGGGGGGAGTCTGAGGAAGCACAGCTGGTCCCCTGGGTGAGAGGGTCCCTGGACACCGTGTCCTGCTTTTTAAGTCATTAAAGGTCAAGAACTCCATCAACATGGAGTAGTGTCCAGCCCAGCAGGGAAGGGTGGCCTTAGGAAATTGGGAGGCCAAGGGCTCTGCTACTGCTCCCCTGGGACTCTCTCATTCTGAGCCTCAGTCTCCCCATCTGTGCATCAGGAGTTGGTCCCAGAAGATGAGTTAGACGGAGTCAGGGGAGGGAAATGGGAGGTGCTTGGCACCATATCCCGGTTAGATTGGCCAGGCCTGGACAGGCCGGCAGCCCTGAGACAGAGGGGCAAATGGGTGGCTTCTTGGCGGGGGGGCAGGACGCATGGGGAGAACTCGAGGAAGATGCTGTTCATGGCCAAGGCCTGGCCAGAGTGGGGTCTGAGTGAGTGTGGGGTGGGTGCTGCCCTGGGCTGCGGGGTGTGGAGGGTGGGGCCCAGGCCAGGACTGGGAGTAGGTTGTCCCTGGTGGCAACTTGAGGCCCATTCTGAGGCCCAGGGCAGATTCTCATTCAGGTGACTGAGAAGTTGAGAATAGACACCCCCCACATACCTCCCTGCCCAGTGTGTGCCCACCTACTGCTGCCTGAGCCGTGGAAGGATGGGCATGGGGGGGGGGGTTTCATCCTAGGGCCTCCGCAGAGGTGCTTGGGGGAGGGGAGCTGATGGCTCTGTGGCTGTGGGCCAAGGTCCTCAAATATAGGATGCTCTGACCTGGCTGGACAGGATCCGAGGAGGGTCAGAACCTGGAACCTTTGGGGTTGGTCCAGCCAGGTAGGTAGTCGGCAGATATTAATTGAGCATCTGCTGTGTGCTGGACCCATACAAGGGACTGGGCAGCCTGCTTGTCTGTGCCGCCCACCTTTTGGGGAGGCCACTGTGGTGAGGCCAGGAAAGATTAAGCCTGTGATGAGGGGCTGGCCCGACCTCACTAGCTGCCTCTAGCAGGGCAGCAGGACCGGGTAGGGAGAAGTCACAGGCCCTGGGCATGGATTTCTTCACAGAAGGTTGATATGTATAGATAGATAGATAGATAGATAGATAGATAGATAGATAGATAGATGATAGATAGATAGATATCAGAGAGGAAGGGAGAGGGAGAGAGAGATAGAAACATCAATGATGAGAGGATCATTGATCGGCTGCCTCCTGCATGCCCCACACTGGGGATTGAGCCTGCAACCCGGGCATGTGCCCTGACCAGGAATCGAACCGTGACCTCCTGGTTCATAGGTAGATGCTCAACCACTGAGCCATGCCGGCCGCTGTTGTAGTGCCCACTGTTGGTAAGGTGAGGGGTCCAGTAGCCAGAAGCTGGGCAGTGAGTGAGTAAGCCTGAAGCCTGACTTTTGTTTGCAAGGTGTTTGTGGTTGGGCGGGCTTGGTTTTATTTGTGCAAGTGACTTGGGGGGGAGAGAATCCATGGAGCTCAGGAAATGCCCGTGTCCTGGTTGGGGTGACCACCCAGTCCCGGTGTGCCCCCGATGGCCCTGCTTTTAGCACCGAAAGTCCCGCATCCCAGGAAACCGCTAGGCCTCTGGCACACCTGGACACTGAGTCCCCCTAGTCCCCCACTGCCTCTCTCTTTCCCCGATGACTTCCTGTTTCACAACAGGAGAGCTGGAGGCCCAGAAAAGTTAACTGATCTTTGGCCTCAGAAAGTCATGATCAGAAATTGAGCTCTGAGGGCAGCTGACTTGACTCGAGCTTGAATCCTGGTTCTTCCTCCTCCTCCTGGCTGGAGCTCTGGCTCCTTTTGTGTAACGTGGAGCCAGGAGTGAAGGGTGGGCTGCCTCCTGGACGGTGGGCGTGGCCAGTGCAGGGGCTATGCTGGCCTTGACCTGACCTCTGCCCTCTGCCCTCTGCCCCGCAGTTGCTGGTTGAGAAGACAACCGACTCACCGGCGGCTGAGTTCTCGCTGGTGGAGGACGTGGCTCTGCACTTTGCCTGCTTGATGGGCCGTCTGAATGAGCAGCGCCTCTTCCAGCCTGACCTCTGCGACGTGGACCTGGTGCTGGTGCCCCAGTGCAGTGTCTTCCCGGCGCACAAGGGCGTGCTGGCCGCCTACAGCCAGTTCTTTCACTCGCTCTTCACCCAGAACAAGCAGCTGCAGCGTGTGGAGCTGTCCCTGGAGGCGCTGGCGCCCGGCGGCCTGCAGCAGATCCTCAACTTCATCTACACGTCCAAGCTGCTGGTCAACGCGGCCAACGTCCACGAGGTGCTCAGCGCTGCCTCGTTGCTGCAGATGGCTGACATCGCCGCGTCCTGCCAGGAGCTGCTGGACGCCCGCTCCCTCGGCCCCCCGGGCCCCAGCGCTGTGGCCCTGGCCCAGCCAGCTGCCAGCTGCACCCCAGCCCCGCCACCCTACTACTGTGACATCAAGCAGGAGGCCGATACCCCGGGCCTGCCCAAGATCTACGCCCGAGAGGGCCCTGATCCCTACTCTGTGCGCGTGGAGGACGGGGCAGGGACTGCGGGCGGCACAGTGCCTGCCACCCTTGGGCCAGCTCAGCCCTTCTTCAAGGAGGAGAAGGAGAGTAGCGTGGAGGAGGCTGGCGGGCCCCCGGCCAGCCTGTGCAAGCTGGAGAGTGGGGAGGAGTTGGAGGAAGAGCTTGCGGGATCCGGCACCTACAGCCACCAGGAGCAGTCCCAGATCATCGTGGAGGTGAACCTCAACAACCAGACACTGCACGTGTCCACGACGCCCGAGGGGAAGCCGGGTGCTGCCACAGGCCCGGCCACCATGGTGCTGGGCCGGGAGGACGGGCTGCAAAGACACGAGGAGGAGGAGGAGGACAATGAGGAAGAGGAGGAGGAGGAAGTAGAGGAGGAGGGTGGTGGCAGTGGAGGGGAGGAGGAGGAGGAGGAAGGTGGTAGTCAGGGGGAAGAGGAGGAGGAGGAGGAGGAGGAGGAAGGGCACAGTGAACAGGAGGAGGATGAGGAGGAGGAAGAGGAAGGACAGAGTGAGCAGGATCAGGACAGCTCGGAGGAGGAGGAGGAGGAAGAGGAGGTGGGGGTCAAACAGGGGCCAGCGGGCGCAGGGGCAGCCGGGCAGAGCCCCTTCCCCACAGTCGCATGGCCACACGGTCCCGGGAGAATGCCCAGCGCCGGGTCCCCCCTGAGCCCGAGGAGGCCAGGCAGGGTAGCAAGAGGCCCAAGCAGCCCCCCGGAGCGGCCCCGGCGCCAGCACGAGGGTCACAGGCCACTGATGGGCTGGGGGCCAAGGTGAAGCTGGAGGAGAAACAGCACCACCCGTGCCAGAAGTGCCCGCGTGTGTTCAACAACCGCTGGTACCTGGAGAAACACATGAATGTGACCCACAGCCGCATGCAGATCTGCGACCAGTGTGGCAAGCGCTTCCTGCTGGAGAGCGAGCTGCTGCTGCACCGGCAGACGGACTGCGAGCGCAACATCCAGGTGGGTCTCAGGCCGCTTCGTGGGTGGACGGGGCAGGACGGGCCGAAGGCCAGTTGAGGCCACAGCCAGCCAGGCGGGGCCAGGCCAGAGCTGGGCCCTGGACATCCTGGGTCCTGCTGCCTGCATGGCCCAGACAGTCTGGGGAGACCAGACTTAGTCCCCTGGACAGCGGGCCCAGCCCGGGCCCAGGATGAACCAAGAGGGTGGGGCCCAGGCTGGCGAGAACGTCAAGGAGAGCTTTCGGGAGGAGTCGGAGAGCTCTGGGCTTTGACACTTGGAAAGCTGTGCAGATAAGACTAGAACAAGCAGTGCCCTTGGCCAGAGGGCCCAGGGAACGCGGTTGGGAGGATGAGAGGAGAGAGTTGCCTGAGCACATGAGACTGGGGACAGCCAGCCATGAGGAGGGATGAGTCAGTGTTTTAGCAAATCCTTAGGGCTACCCTACGGCCAGCGGGGCCACTGTGTATAGTCTCACAGATCGGCAGTGCACAAAAGCATCAATGAAGGGAGGAGGCATTTACCCAGAGCGGGGTGCCACTTTCCACTCGCCACAAAGGCCGAGTAGAGTAAGGGGCAGCTGGGCAGGAAGGAGTCCCTGCATTCAGCTCTTTGGAGATGCCAGCTGGCCTGGGCCTGGGGAAGAGGGACTGGATGAGAAATTTGGGAAGAGCAGAGGCTGCTGGGGCCAAGTGGGGAGCTGGGCTGGCTGCCAGGCGTGGGGCCAGCCCAAGTCGATGCCAGCCTGGCCTCTCAGATGTGGGCCGCGCAGGGCCAGCCAGGCTGGTTTTTACCTTTGTGGCTGAGCGGTGGTGAGATGAGGCCGCAGGTAGGCAGGTGCTAATTGCCTGAGCTAATTGCTAATTGCAGTGCCCTGTGGAGAAAGTGTTACCTGGGGGTTACCTGGTCTCCTGCCCCACCTTCCAGTACCTGTTCCCACTCGCCTGCCTGCTGGGCTGCTCTCTGGCTCCCCCCCTGCCACACACTTGAGCCTCCCTCCGAAGGGGAAAGATACTTGTGCTTCCTCCGACCCGGGCAACCTGACCACCCTGACCCAATTTCCGCTCGAGCCCTGGCCTTGCCTCCAGGCCTCTGGGGGTGTCCTGCAGGGATAGGCAGGAGGAGGGTTCAGGGGAAGAGGAGGAGGGGAGTGTGACCTCAAGTTTCCCACCACCCTGCCCTGCCCATGGGAGCTGGTACCTTCTGCAGCGCTGCCCCGCCCCCCCTTTCCCACAGCAACCCTTTGAGACCTATCTCCTTGGTGATCTCCATGGCATCAGGGCATGGGTCCCGGCAGGGGGAGGAGGCTGCAGAGATAATGGCCCAACTCTGTCCGGACCTGTTATCGCAGAGGGGCTTCTCCACACCCCCTGTGGCCCTTCAGCCAGCCAGGTGCCTCCCCTCCAACCGCAGCGGGAGGATGAGCACAGAAGAGGGGCCTCCTGGGAGAAGTTCTAGTTAAGTTCAAGGATGAAGAGGGGACCTGGCTGCTGCCCTGGGTGGTGGGTGGGTGTTTAGGGAGCTCCTACCCGCAAGTCCCAGGATATCAGATCTCACGGGTCCTTGGTCTCAAGGGCTCTCTCTCCAGCACAATTCAGGCGGAAAAAAAAGGAGGCCCAGAGAGGGCCAGCGACTTGTCCTATGTCACACAGTCCTGACTCAGAACTCGGGGCCTAAAGTCCTCTCGCCCCACAGTGTGTGACATGCGGCAAAGCTTTTAAGAAGCTGTGGTCCCTCCACGAGCACAACAAGATTGTGCACGGCTACGCGGAGAAGAAGTTCTCGTGTGAGATCTGCGAGAAGAAGTTCTACACCATGGCCCATGTGCGCAAGCACATGGTGGGTGAGTCTGGGCCCTGCGGGAGGCGCCTGAGGGCAGAGCTGGCCGGCTGGTGGGTGTGCTGGGAAGGACTCCACATCCCAGGACAGTGTGAAGGGGTGAGAGGCCCCTCTGGCGGGGAGGCCTGGGGTAGCTGGTTGCAGTGCCAGGTGTGGCCTGGGCAGGTTGCTCGCTGCACAAGGACTCCTGGACGAGACGGCAGGCGGGGACCAGAATCCATCTGCACAGGCCCTGCCTCAGTTTGAGGACAGCTGTGTCTCTGATTCTTTCTTACCTTCGGGCCCTCACAGGGCTTCAGGCTCTTCTGAATGCAACCCTCCCCCCGCGTCACGCCTGGACACAGTGAGGAGGCTCCCCAAGTGTGTGTGGGGCCTCCCCTCTGCCTTGGGCATGGCTGGCCCTCCCTTCCTTGCCTGCTCATAGACTTGGGCTAAGGCAGTGGTCGGCAAACTCATTAGTCAACAGAGCCAAATATCAACAGTACGACAATTGAAATTTCTTTTGAGAGCCAAATTTTTTAAACTTAAACTATATAGGTAGGTACATTGTTATTCACTTAATTAGGGTACTCCTAAGGCTTAGGAAGAGCCACACTCAAGGGGCCAAAGAGCCGCATGTGGCTCAGGAGCCGCAGTTTGCCGACCACGGGGCTCAGGGAATGGTGGCCAAGGTGGGCCTTACCCCCTTTCTCCACCAGACGGTGCTGGGGGCCTCCTGCGTGAACTGCCTGGGACCTGGGACCCGGGACCTAGGTCTCAGCCAGGAGATGCTGGGGTGAAACAGGATTGGTGGCCCTTCCTGGGCTCAGGTTCACCAGCCCTGAGCTCTGTGGGGGTCCTCCCTGCCTCCAGTTACTTCCTCCAAGATCTGCTTCATCTACCCATGGGTCTGGGGGGAGTGCCGCTAACTTTTAGAGGTGCCATCCCCTGGAAAGCCCCCACCGGTGAGCACAGTACCACCCCTAGCCTCCTTTTATAGAGGAAGATACTGAGGCTCACCGAGGCCGTGCAGGGAGCCAGGGCTGGGCCAGGACTCGAGCTGAGGCCAGTCCCATTAGGATCTTTCCATCCGAAATTTTGGAGGGTGAGGCGGCCTTGGCTATTTCAGAGGCTAAAGAACCACAAGGGTTTCCTTCCACGCTTGTCAGACCAGCCTTCAGAGCAGATGGAGAAGGAGCCCACGGGGAAGGGGGGCCTGTCTGGGGGCAGCCCCAGGTCCTGGGACGGAGACTGTGAGGCAGGCCCCAGGGCAGGCGGGGTCCCCCAGAGCTGTGACCGCCCTGTGCACGCCCTGTAGCTCACACCAAGGACATGCCCTTCACCTGCGAGACCTGCGGGAAGTCCTTCAAACGGAGCATGTCCCTCAAGGTGCACTCTCTGCAGCACTCGGGGGAGAAGCCCTTCCGCTGTGAGGTGAGCTCCCTGCTCCCCCTGCCCCGGGGCCGCCAGGCCAGGGCAGGGGGCAGGGACAGCAGCTGTCTAAAAGCCAGGGGTACAGGGTTCTGAAGGAGAGGGGCCCTCCCTCTCATGTCTGTGGCCCCTGCTTCCCACTCCATCCTTTCCTGGTCACCCGCCGGCCTGCCCCCACCACCGCACTCTGCCATTCCACCCCTAACCCCAACCCCACACAGCCAGGCGGGGAGTCTGCCTGAGCTGGACCGGGAGGGGGGGGCAAGCTTTTCTGAGAGATGCGCTGCAGGTGGGGGGAGGAGGGGCCTAACAACACAGAAGGGGGGCGGGGCTTTCATCTTGAGGCCCGCCTCCACTCTGTGGCCTTTCCCCACTTCCTGGCCCCTATTCCCACCTGTGCCCTGGACCCCCTGGCTTCTCACCTCTGCCCCTGCGCTGCTCCGCCCCAGGAGGCAGGGCCAGTGCCTCCCTCCCCGAAGGCTGCTCCCCGCTCTGCCCCTGGCCTCACCCCCACCCACCCACCCGCAGAACTGCAACGAGCGCTTCCAGTACAAGTACCAGCTGCGCTCCCACATGAGCATCCACATCGGCCACAAGCAGTTCATGTGCCAGTGGTGTGGCAAGGACTTCAACATGAAGCAGTACTTCGACGAGCACATGAAGACCCACACAGGTAGGGCCACCCTGCTGCCCGGAACTGGGGGAGGGGGGTTCCATGCCAGTCAGGGGCCCCCTTCTCAGCCCCGCCCCTCCTCACCCTGGGACTTCTTACCCCCCTGAGGCTTGGGGCCGTTCTCCCTGCCTCCCAGGTTGGGTGCGGCTGGGACAGAGCGGCTCAGGGTGGGAGGATCCGAGGCTGCCAGGGCTGAGCCGCGCTGTGGACCCATGGAGGCAGGGGGGCTGGCCCCGGGCCGGGGTGGAGCACCCTCCAGTGACACCCCGCTGCTCGCTGCCGTCCCCCAGGGGAGAAGCCGTACATCTGCGAGATCTGCGGCAAGAGCTTCACCAGCCGGCCCAACATGAAGCGGCACCGGCGCACCCACACGGGCGAGAAGCCCTACCCCTGCGACGTGTGCGGCCCACAAAGGAAGAAGTGGTTCCAACATGCTCAAGGGCCACAGGAGAAGTGCTTTCTGCGTCAGCCACCCGCTGGCCGGCGACGGG